GGTAGCAACGCCAAAGCCATTTCGTTAGTCGGTGCTGGATTAAGGGTCTATGTCTCCCTGGGTTACGTGCGTTGACTGCTGCGAACGTTATCTGGGTACGGTCCGGTATTACCCGGGAACGTACCCTGGTAACTTCTGATATGGTTAGGTTAGGGTTAGGCGTTAAAGGGGAGTAGGCGTAAGGCGACTCCCTAGACTCGTTAGTGGAGTAGGCGAGGTACGGTCCGGCCATATTAAGATAGTACCAGGGTACGTTTCGGTATACCGGACCGTACCCCAGGGCGTACGTTCCGACAGTACCCAGGGAGACATAGACCCTGGCAGCTGTAGTGGTATATATTACGTGCAGGTGAATGGATGCAAGCCATCACATTTTGTTCATAGCATAGTAATAACGTCAGCAGTTGCATGTTGCTTTATGATAGTGCGCCCGCTTATAATACAGGATATCATGGGAAAATGGATGCTTGTTGACTTACTTGCAATTGAGTATGACTTGCAAACTTTCCTTCTTTTTGCAGGCCAGTCTCCTAAATCTATATTTTATTTCAGGTTTTCACGTTTACTGCGTTTTTGTGGCTATTATACTTGTAATGAAACGTTCACCACAGCTATTTGCTCTTCAACATTTTCATTCACAAGTATAATACACTGAATGCTTTTGCCATACCCATCAGTTTAACCTTGGGCATTTTGATTTCTTCTTATGCTGCTGTTGGGATGGACAGTGTATGGTCCTGAAGGTATAAGCCTCATATATAACTATGAATAAATAATTATATATGTACACGTACACATATCATTACAGTGTAAGACATTGCGATAGACAGAAAGAGGCTTTCCCAAGCTATGTTAATAATTTTTACAAACATTGCAAATGCAATGTTCTGGTGACCATGACATATCACTAGTCACCGCGGAGAATTCTCTCATCTGCTTGCACCGTGCTCGTTGTAACTGATGTGATATGTTGCCTGCAGCTGTGACTGGATACATCGTAGAGGTGATTCCTGAGCAGCAGACTGCGCGGGAGGGTCAGGAGGTGGTGATTGAGTGTCGTGCCCAAGGCTCGCCCTCTCCTATCCTGCGCTGGACACGTGTCGGTGGCGTCATGCCACGATCTGCCTCGGACACCGGCAGGGGGCGCCTCGTCTTCACGCAGGTTGCCGCGGCCGACCAGGGATCTTACAAGTGTGAGGTGCGCGGAGTGACAGGAACATACGAGGCCACGGCGAGGCTCACTGTTGAACCATGTAGGTGGCGCATGCGTGCAATTTTTTATACGATTACTGTTTTCTGTGCAAATTGCTTAGATGACAGATGTGCACTTGGTTTACTAAATATTTACACTAACATAAATGTATTATTTTAGTATTTATTCAGTGTTTATTATAATGTAAATAATAGTAATAGTATTTAATATTTCTTCAGTATACATTTAGCATAAATTTCTACGTGTGCATATGTACACGAGTTGCCTTGTATACTAGACCAATATACTTACTGTATACTGTATCGTATTTTACTGCATGGCCATTGCACTATGCTGCACTGTATTGAACTGTATAGCATTGTACTAAAATATACTATAGCACACTGCACTGTATGCGATGTCCATCTTGCTGCGGTAGTGTGGCACGTGAAATAGTAATGGGTGAAATTCCAATAAGGCAAAGTTTGAATAAGCGTATGCACCTTTCACGTGTCGTCGGCTTGCAGATGGACCGACACAGACCCCTCCAGGTCCGTACAACTGTGCCGAGACTGAGTCAACGTGTAGCGATGGACAGTGCATCCCACGCGACTACCTGTGTGATGGAGAAGCTGACTGCAAGGATGGAAGCGACGAGGCATCGTGTGGTACGTGAAATTGACAAAACTAACACGTCGGTCAATCATATGTTGCTGCCAGTCTTGTGGATTTTGTTGTACTACATGGACCTTTGTTCTCTTTTCCACGCTCAGAAAAATACAGATCATGGAATAAAAATGTGGAAGCACTGCGACATTTCGTCTGTTTCGACATGACACCTTTCGTCTCTCTTTCGTTGTAATGTAGTAATGCGTGGTGGTGTCATTCGTAGTTGCCTCAGCCTTGTTCTTCACTGTTGTAGTCAAGGCAGACCAGTGTGAGCCGAATGAGTTCCAGTGCAACAATGGCCGCTGCATCCAGAAGATCTGGCGTTGTGACGGGGACAATGACTGTGGAGACAGATCTGACGAGGAAAGTTGCCGTAAGTCTCGAGCAATGGCTTCACCTGTAATCTCATCGTCACGGTAACTACTCGATTGACATCTCGGCACGATCCTATGTGTAGGGTTTTGTTGCTAGGTTGGTCATGTTGGACCGGTTTTATATGTGTTTATCACACGTACATTTGTTGACGTGGAGGGAATGTGTTGTCAAACATTGTGTTTTAGAACGTCCTATCACATCAGTGATTGGCTAAAGCTGTCTGTCAATCACGTGAGGCAGGCAGGTCAATCTATTTGTAGCGGTTGTTGTAGCGGTGTTGTAAACGTTACGCAAAGTCATCTGTGCATTTGGAGTAAAAAGTGGCAATAATAGTGTCACAGAAAACTACCTTCATTTGGAGACAGTCACGTGATGCCTCGTGTTGCTCTATGTCGTGGGTCGAATCTGCTACATCGGCTCACCCGCCTTCTATGTTCTCAGCGACCCACAAGCCTGGTGATCCATGCAATGCCGATGAGTTCCGCTGTGTGTCCGTCGACCAGTGCATCCCCGCTAGCTACCAGTGTGATGGGGAGTTTGACTGCCAGGACAGGACCGACGAGATCGGATGTGGTACGGTGCTGCAAGCCTGACTCAGCGCGAGACAGTACCGCATATATTCCCCGCACTTAAGCTTCACCATAACAGTAGCTAGTCACTGTCGCGATGATATTATTACACGGAATCGTGGAGAGAAGAAAATTCACTGTTACTAACACTGTTCAACCCCAGGAGCCTCGCAAACGGAAAACTATTTAAATTTAAGTAGAAAAAAGCTACCACCGATATTACGACGAAGGCTGTTAAACATCAGAAATCCATTAAGCAGTGACATCTGCAGGCAGCAGAGTATAGCCCCAGCCATAATAAGCAATGATTACAACCAGCGAACCTCGGAAATCGTGAATGAATGTGCGAGCAGCGAAGAGTGAGTGTGATTTTTCGTGCTTCTGCTCGGCAGCGCCACCCACGATCACGCGCCCGCCTCCAGCCATGGTGATGGTCAACGTCGGCGAGACGGTCACGATAGAGTGCACTGCCGTCGGCGTGCCGACACCCTTCATCAACTGGCGTCTGAACTGGGGTCACGTGCCGCCACCGCCACGCGTCAGCAGCACCAGCGTCGATGGCTTCGGCCGTCTCACCATCAGGTTCGTTCGCCGAGGAATCTCTGTTGTTTTGTCTTGTAATTTGCTCTAATTTCTGAAGGACGACTCACACATCTGTGGCACGTAGCTGCGGCATTTGTCTCCACTGCTAATATAGCGGCTTTTGTTTGCTTTCAGGAACGTGCAATTCTCCGATCAGGGAGCCTACAGCTGTGAAGCGATCAACAGCAAGGACAGAGTCTTTGGTCAACCAGACGCCATTCTCAAAGTCAAAGGTTCATTTCAGAATTAATCCGAACTTGTTCGTCTAAGAAATAAGTAGCTTACCTGGGTGATCACTGATATATAGGTGCACGTTCGTTCGTGAAGTTTGTATGCCTCTTTGTGTGCATTTTCTGCAGTGTGGAAATCATTTACATTACCTGGCTGTTGTTTCTATATCTGCAGGTGAGACAGGCATCTGCCCATCACTACTGTTCAACGCCGCCGCCACGGACGTGTCTAAGTGCATCTCCTGCTTCTGCTTTGGCGCCACCAGGGAGTGCAGCAGTAGCAATCTGTTCCGCTCCTCGGTAAGTAATACCTCTTGCTTCCAACACCGCTGCCGCCAGCACCACCGCCCCACCACTGTCGCCAGTGTTACCACCACCAGCACTGTCGCACACCCAGTAAGACCACTATCATCGTTGCTGCCAATGTCAGCACCGCCACCCCACCACTGTCGCCAGTGTTACCACCACCGGCACTGTCGCACACCCAGTAAGACCACTACCATCGTTGCTGCCAATGTTAGCACCGCCACCCACCGCTTTCGCCAGTGTTACCACCACCGCCACTGTCACCGCACACCCAGTAAGACCACTACCACTGCTGCTGCCAACGCCACTGCCATCACCACCAACACCAGTCGGTCTCATTCCCACTTGAGCTGTTGACCAGCCATCTACACTATATCTAGCAAACATTTTAAATTCTTTTGTCGGTTGATATAACAGTATGTATGGCTGTATTGACACTAAAGAACATGATGCTGCTTTTATCACACGCTCAGCTGCCAGCCGGAAACCAGATGGACATGATGAACGCAGACAGTGACCAACCCATTGAGGACAGCCTGGTTCAGTACAACCCACTTAACCGCGAGTTTGTCGTGTCGGACTTCCACAACATCGTGCCGATGGGCCGCCTCTTCTGGCAGCTGCCTCACATGTTCCACGGTAACAAGGTGAGCTGTCAGCCTATTGTCTTATCTCAGTGATGGTCTCTCTCTCTTTCTTAGAAAAAAACATATCTTGTGATCATAATAGTCTTGAGAAGCCTCTGTCCGAGCATGCAGCGGCATTGCAGCCCTGTGCGTTAACATTTCTTACCAACATATATTATAATTGGCACTACCTATGCATTGCATTAACATGGTTTTAATCTCCATGTTGCTAGTAGTCAGATGTGTTGTGTTTTTAAAATATGGAGTTTTACAAATTTAAAAAAAAACTTTAATGAAACTTCTAATCAGTACATATTGAACCTGCCAATAACCGCTCATGATTCTTGATTGATTATTCCTTTCTAAATGGCTTTGTTGTCTCCACAGCTGTCTAGTTATGCAGCAGACATCTCCTTTGACTACAGCTTTGCTGTTGGTCGTGGCCGCCCTGCACCTACAGATCAGCCAGACGTGATACTGAAGGTAAGCTTCGCTAGCAAATTCTATCATGTTTTCTGTGAAGATGCAAATAGTTGTCTGCTAGATCTTCAGAAATACAAATATATGTGCAAAAAATGGCATATTCAACAAAAATTATTTGGTCATTACCATGCATGCCATGGATGCTTTGGTATTGTCAACTTGCTGACTGTGTTGTCACTGTCTTACAGGGTAATGGTAGAACTCTGTTCTACAAGAGCAACAAGGTTCCTCTCCCCAACGCACAGAACCCATCCAGCATCCATCTAGTTGAGGTAACATTTGCTATTGCTAGTTGGTCTGGTTGGTACTTCTAGGCTACTGGCGAGCATCTAGAGTTACTAATTGTATTGTCAATTATAAATGCCAGTTTAACTAGGTTTTCTATTGTGAATAATTACATCTGAATATAAAGGCAATAAATATCATTTGCCTATAGGACTGTAGGAAAGTATTGACAGTATTCTTGACTGTGAAAATGACATGAAATGTTAGAGCAGATGAGTCTTTTCATAGAATTCAGTTTTGTGTTTCCTCTTCTGTAAAACGTTCCCATATTTTTTGCTGTCAGGAAGGAAGTATGGAGGTATTACTTGGTGTTGTAGTTTCTACGTATTCTATTACATATTCTACACATTTATTACATCTGACACTTTTTCTTAATAATCCCTCAACAAACAAATAGCCTTATGTTTAATATGTTTAATTATATTAAGAAATTCTGTAAGAGTTATTTGATGACTTTCTTTATAGTTCTGTTAAAAAACGTATTTTTCGTATGCATAGGTCCTACCTTATTGTTATTTTAAAAATTACACTGACTTACATTAATTTTACTAGACTGTCTTGTTTCTCTAAGTCTTTTAAATTGTTAGTATACTTTCTAAGGCTTTCATGGTCATGTTTACTATCTAAAGCATATGCATAGAGAAATAAGAATGCAACGACTAATGCACATTTTAAGCAAAATTCTGGATAACGTATAAACATTTATATAATTATTGGGCATGCAACAAGATAACCATGCCAGCTTTCTGTGCGGCCAAGAATGCATTATTGCTGGCCTGAATATGAATATTGAATATATTAAATATACATACGTTCGTAGTGATAGTAAGTATGAAGCTCCGTGTTGACTCGCAGTGGAAAACTGCTAGCACCCTGCTAACATGCAATGTATGTGCTCGCTGTGTAGGGTGAGTGGCTGAGCACTGACCACTACGAGGGTCGTGGGGACACGCCTGTAGGCACCCCAGTCACGCGCGCAGACTTCATGATGGTACTGCAGAATGTCACCGATATCCTCATCAGGGCATCCTACGACTACAGCATGACAGCAACCAGGTACAGCAGGCCCACTGCACTAGTCGGCCTTCACAACCAGATTTAATAGATTTTTCTGATTAGGTGATTTCTTGGAGTAGGGAATGAACCTTGTATAGTCGTGGCGCTAATCTGGTAATGTGTAACACGACATTGTACTGATTACTGAGTGTTCTTTCACACCTTACTACGTGTAGGATCAGTACCTGTACAGTATTGTGTCTGTACAGTATTGTGTCTGTACCTAACATGTTTTACCGTCGTTAAATAAAGTTTCTACTTACTTACTTACTAGGATCAGCAACGTGGAGCTCGGCATCGGTGTGGTCCAGGACACTGGTAGGTCACGTGCATTTGAGGTGGAAGCTTGCTCCTGCCCCACAGGCTACGAGGGTCTCTCCTGCGAGGTTAGTACAACACAACAAGATTCTGTATGAGCTGTGTGTCGTACAGTACGTCCGTGTGTGGTTGAGCGCCTTTGATTGTCCTTGTTCTGTGTTTAAATCCAGATTTTTTCAATTTATTGCCAGTGAGTTCGGTCAGGTAAGTGTTAAACGATTCAGTGATGAAGTTTTGGGTTAGCTTGCTAGAGACATGTTACCATGGAGATGACTGTATTGTTTATTTGTTGTCATTTATCTGCAGAAATGTACCCGTGGCTTCAGACGTGACAGCAGGGGGCGATACCTCGGCACCTGCGTGCCCTGCGACTGCAGGGGCGCCTCCAACGACTGTGACCCTGAAACTGGTGCCTGCTTGGTAAGAACAGAATTTTACATAAATGCCCCTCCAGATGAAATACACGTAATACCTATTTCACACTGGTCGTACATCATATGCAAACCTTGCCATCTTATAATTAGAACATCAGGGTTAATGTTTATGCAGTTTGTCGTGACACAGTTTTTTTCATTGTTGTTTGTTCGTCTCGTACAGGCCTGTAGTGGAAACACTGAGGGACCACGCTGCGACCGCTGCAAGGCTGGCTACTACATGGTGGCTGGACGCTGCGAGGCCTGCCCCTGCCCACTGACCATGCCATCCAATCAGTACGTGTGTGATCACTGCTTTCACAGGGTGTAGCCAGGCAGTGACAGTCTGGGAATAGTGAGATCAACTGTCGTTCAACACGATATATCGTAAAACAACATGGTGCAAGTGCCGGCAGGCAGCAGACACACCCTTCACACACCTAGCTGAGAAAAACCTGAGATTTCAACGTGGTTGCATCTCTCGAGCGAATTCATCATTACAGATTCTGTGTGTGCATAGCTGATGAGCCAACCCTCATAGCAGTCTGTCAATTATATATCTTTCGGTGTGCAGTCCTCACTAGGTGGCCAATGCTTTGCTGATTCGTCGAGCTTCTTTCAGATTCTCACCAACGTGCCACATGGCCAACGACAGACAGGTAACGTGCGATGCGTGCCCGACTGGCTACGTCGGCAGACGCTGTGAGCAGTGCGACCGTGGTTACACCGGCAACCCGTCTGTACCAGGTGGAAAGTGTGAACCTGAAGGTATGCTAGTCACACTGTCTCGCACCCACCTGTGTTTCACTGCCTGGTAGCGGGTGCATGTTCTTGTGGTGTAACGGATGTTAGGGCACTGACGGTGAATTAATGGAAAGCGTTAGAGCAAGTGTGGCACTATACTTTAAAACAGTGTATCTGCTATTTCGTGTGTTCGCTTCTCCTAGCGGAAGTAAAGCTACTCGTTGCGTGTGCTTGAAGTATTAAGTATTTCTACTTAAGTAGAATTTGGCTTCAGTGGTTACTTTAGTTGGCTTCGTGCATTGCTCATGAAGGAATCTGTGATATTATTTTTATTGTAATAGATAATTTCATTGATCTCATCTCACATTAATTTCTTGGTGTACCATGTATAGCTAACTTAGCCTTTCTGTTAGCTTATTATGCTCTATCCAAAGGAAAGGAAACAGGTACTACATAGATGCTAAATTGTCGTTTCCATAGCTATGTCTTTAATTTCACAGATGCACAATTAATCACATTTTATTGCATTCCGTGTAAAGGCGATTGATGAATGGTAGTATTATAACATTGTTATGATGTAACTAAAATTGATTTACAACGTGCTAATGTATTTTCTTGATGATAGGAACCAACTTGCTATTGTGCGATCAGAGAGGCAGTGTGTCTACTGTCCCAGATCCCTTCGGACGCTGTCAGTGCAAGGTATGTGGAGTTTTCAAGGGTGAATGACTTATTTTAAGTGACGGCTAAGGCAGTCACAACTCAAACGCTAAAGAAATGTTTAGTCACTTTGTGAGCACTGCTGTTCATTTGAGAGCATTTACTAGCAACGTGCACTACCTGTTTAGGAAATAGGTGTTTCGTGATGTTTATTTATTAGCAAATAATGGTAAGCAAATGAGGGGTGGGAAGGTGGCATCGGTGTGGTGACTTTCTAGCTTATATTCAGAAATGTGAAATTTATTTTGATGCTATTTATTATGCATTAAAGATATAGAAGGAGCATGTGTTTGTAAAAGTGTGATAATTGTGGCACTACCTCAACCTGTATGATGGTCGTTGTAATTAGTTTGCAATTGTACAGCTGTGGTGGTTGACATGGAGGGTCCAAGGGAATAGCTATTTATTCATTTATTCACTTGGTAAATATCGTAACATGCATGCTGGCCTAATCAGAGCAGTGGTATGTGATACCATTGCATGATCTGGAGATGGGGAGCATGTAATGTATGAATGTTTAGCAAACAACCTGCCTGGTTTATTTGCCATCTTCTGTCTGTTAGTAATTAAGAGCTTGGGAATCTGAGTACAGACGCTCAGAAAATCAAACTACATTGGCATATTATTTTGAATGGCACTGAATCACAAATGTGGTGTAGTCAGTATAGATGCCAGTTAATGCATCTTATTATATTCTGGAAGAAATACGTTGTGCTGTTCTTTCTTACTAGTAAAGTGTGAGAGTATTTAGCATTATGTTTATGTTGAATGACACTCACTCGGTCACACATTCGAGCATGGTTTAGTTGTAATAACATTATATATAACTATATCGAATTATTGCTTATATTCGAAATATTATATTTTAAGCAGTATTTCGTATATAACATTCTACCTATGTTTCAGTCGGATAATTTCTATAAACCTTTGGTAGGTGTGTAGTGGAACGAATGTTTTGTCAGGCTGACTTGTGTATGCACTAGTGTTTATAAACAATCAAACCTGTATATATGCATGGTTACTCAAGGGAAATCCCAAAAGTTTCCTTTATAGACAGATGTCGATTCTGTAAATGTGTCTGCTAACACAGGTTTGACCGTACTACCGTTATTGTCTCATCGGCATCAGTATGGTTTATTTGCATTGCCTATTAGATATACTCATTAATATTCTTAAGGTCAAACACATTTGTGCATGAAACACACTGTGTCATACAGACCTGAATCGTTCTGATATAACATAAATGCAATGCAAATAAATTCACCATATCAAGTGTAAAATGAGATCAATCCAAAAAATGCATCACTATAATCTCTTGCATGCTGTAATTACCACTGCAAATGTTATGGTCCGTCTGCATTGTGGCTGGATATAGGACCAGCAGGTGGCGCCATCGGACACTCCATATAGCCACGGCTGTACGATTGCACCTCAACCCTCCCTTCTGCTAATAACTCTATTGATTGTTGCCCTTTGCAACTGTGTGCACTTAAAGATGGCCAATCCGAATAGGGTAAGCTAATATCAAGAGGACGTCCTGTGCATGATGCGAAACGTGCATGCAATACATTCATGTAATGGATAGGCGTGAGTCGGCGTCTGCGGGGTATAGGCATAGGTGCGCATTCGTGTGCATGTGTTGGCGATAGCGCTGGGTAGATGTGGTGTGGGAGTGCTGGAAGCTGGTCATATGCTGCTTAAGAGCACGTGATCAGCTCAATAAGTCGCTGCCTTGGTCGCACACACAACTAGCACTCCTCATTGGTTTACAGTCGCAGAGTTTTCTTCTGTGAACTTGGGGAATGATGACTGGAGAATGGGCTGTTTTATTTGAACTCTTTGATTGTATGGCTTCCATACATCCCTAGGGCTATAGTAAATCTTACCTATAGCTGTTATAATCTAAACGATTATTTTTTTTAATGTCATTAATACATTTTATAAGTCAGTTCTGATCTTGGATATATTAACCTTGGACAAAATATTTTAATACATACTTTTAAGCACATTATTTCATTCGAAGCACACATAACTGACATGTGTGGATGCTATAATTTCATTAAAAAAATCTTGGTTCTTTATTTGCTTGTCTCTAAACTTGCAAAGAACTGCTTGCATTACATTGCCACTTCACTGGTGGAATTCGCATGCAGTCTTGATTCAGTGTTACGCATATATAGAGATTTATAACCATTGATCTATAGTATACCTGTCTATGTCAGGAATATCACAACTATGGTACTAGGTGTCTCTTGCCTATAAATAGCATTTCCTCGTTATTCAAAGATAGTATGTGCGTATAGATAGTGGCAATAATTGTGTTAATATTTTTAGGCCTACATTGTTTACATTTGGCCAGGCGTGGACGTTTGTTAGAAAAAAGTATTTACTTCAATTCGCATCCAACTGTTGCACTTGCTGCACTGCACCCTTGTCGTGGGTGTCATTCAAGCTCACATACTCATATAGCTCGTATAAGGAGTGATGCATTGTCCCATGCAGATACGATGAACAAACTGATAATATGATGGGCATCTATGAGATTGATCTTTTGGTCATGCCTTGGATAAATAAGATGATTGTTTAAGTTAGTATTCTTTCTTTTATTAATTAATCCTAGAGATTTAGAGAGAATATTCTCTAATAGTCCCGTTCTGCCTGTTTCAGCCGAACGTCGTTGGCCAGTATTGCGATCAGTGTGCGCGTGACACCTTCCATCTGTCAGCTGCCAACCCTCACGGCTGTGTGCGCTGCTTCTGCATGGGTATAACAAACCGCTGCAGCAGCTGTTCATGGAACAGGGATCAGGTGAGGTTACAGCTGTTGAGTAAGCAACCTGGTGGCTGGTTGTAGCCATGCGGACCGACGCACATGCTTCAGTTGGCAATGCGTGTATTTTCCGTTATTATTTTGCTTCTCACTGGAAGGTAGCGCGCACTCGCGTGTCTTAGTCCGTAATACGCTTTACGCAGGTCTTTAGTTTAATGCCACCGTAGCAGTAGTGGGGGCTGCATTTGTCCTAAATGCGTTTGCGTACATCATAATGACGTCTGCGCGTGTTCACACCTGCAAGTGTCATAACGATGTCGCACGTCTGCGTATGTTTACACGCATGTGCTTCTGTGTGAGCAGGAGGTCGCAGACTTCAGGGCTCACAAGTCTGAGTGGCTCCTTCGCGATCGCTTCGGTCACTTCAACATCTCTAGCGGCATCGACGTCGTCGAGGAGGACAACAAGGACACGCTGGTCGCCAGCGGACGCGCGCTGCCTGACCGCCTCAACCTCTTCTACTGGGCCATGCCACAGCACTTCCTCGGAAACAAGGTGCGTCTACGTCTGCAGAGGCAGCAGCTCAGCAGCAGTGTCGCGTCGATGCTGTTGCTGGAATTTAATGAATTTAGAATTACGCTGATGATTATAATCATCTGGTCGACAATGCGTGTGGTGATAATGTTTGAAATGTTCATTGAAAATGTCACGTTGAAAATGTCATGCTGGCAATGATAATGTCAACAGTTATAACAGCTATGATGATGAAGGTGATGACGTTGGTGACAATGACGATGACATGATGATGATGATGATGATGATGATAAAAAATCTTGGGTGATGATGAGTCGAGAGCTAGGTTACCTCGGCTAGGAACTGTATTAACTCTTTAAATAAGTTCATTCGGTTGGTAGACTAATAGATCTAACTGGGTTAATGGTGGTCAAAACTGATAATCATCAGTCAGCTTTGAGAAAGCCTGAGCGGCGAAACGTCAGCTGTACGTTTCCAATCTTCACGGTTGAGTAACAATTAACCAAGTTAGATCTGTTTTAACTCCATTCTATATCTTTAGATTGGATACATTGCAATGTGCTCGTTTGTATGCAGGTGATGTCTTATGGTGGAGATGTGCATTACACAGTCAGCTTCCGTGGTGGATCTCCCAGCGATGACAGCGACCCTGATGTAGAACTCTACGTATGTCTGTCACGATTTATCATCAGTTGAAGAGAAAACGTTGTCGGAGTCGATGATCTTTATAATACTTTCATTGCCCGGAAAAAATCTGTAAATTGCTGTGGTTTAGATAATCGACATTATTACTTGACACAATTCTCTACAGGTCTTTATTTGTATTTTTGTTGATGTGTCTGTGGTTTATGCCTGCAGGGTAATGATATCCTGCTCTACCACCGCGTGGAGCAGCAACCAAGGGAGGGAGTGCAAACGTCATACAAAATCCCAATGTATGAGGTAGGAACACAAACATGTATTTTGTACTTACCTGTTATTCACTGTGACTATATTTTTACTGGTATTATGCGATTTTTTTATATATTAATTATGTAGTCTTTATCATGATGATCCAAATGAATATGTCTATTTCTTCTGTTTTAGACTGCCTGGCAGCGTGCTGATGGAGAGCAAACAACAAGAGAGCATCTCATGATGGCCCTCGCAGACATGGAATACTTCCTTGTTAAGGCATCCTTCAGCCAGAACATCTATCAGACCAAGTGAGATACTCACAAACTCTAAACTCTGTCTTAGTATAACATCTCGCACATTGATCTATGCCCCTCACATGCCTCAGCCTTCACCATCCAATAGCATTTCTGCACCTGTCCCACATTGCATGGGAAACGAGTCCGATTACTAGCGTTCATCGTGCCGATTTAGTTAAATTTGGTTGTAACTGATACAATAAGTGTGTAATTGAAGCAACGTTTGTCGTGGTGTGTTTCCAGGCTGCATGCGTTTAGCATGGGCATCAGTGTGGATAGGAACACCGGCAACGAACAGGCTTATGCTGTGGAGCAGTGCAGCTGTCCTGCAGGCTACCTTGGACTCTCCTGCGAGGTGATTACTAGCCGTGTCTTTATTGGATGCTGTATAAGACAGCTAGATATAAGCATGGTGTTGTCCATCATTACAATATTCTATTTAGTGTTATATTGCAACTCGTGAGTTTTACATATTTTATAATACAAAAACAACGTATATGATCGAAAATGATATTAGTAGACATGTTGTGTGCGAACGTGGGTGTGTGTGTACGTGCGTATGTGTGTGTGTTTGTGCGTGTTCCGTGTCCAGTGATTGAGTAATTGTTGCTGATGCAAACATGTTTCATGTTTCCTCAGGACTGTGCTCCTGGCTACACACGCGACGCTGCCCTGTACCTAGGCAAGTGTGTGCCGTGCAACTGCAATGGCCACTCTAACACCTGTGATGTGGAGACAGGCACCTGCTCTGTAAGCTATTCGTCTGCACCTCATCGAGACATATGCTCTGCGAGCTCCTTACAGTGAAGTGACAAATTAAGATGTTACATTGCCAGTCGGAGAGTTAAAAGTGAAGTTCTGTCCTCGTGTGACATTGTTGTTATAAACACTGCGAATTTTGAGTGATTCAGCTCCCAAGGCCATTCCTCAATATAATTTTTTTTCGATTTATGAATTTAACATTTTGCATTAGTATATCTTTACATATATTTTATGTTAGATTGTTAGGCTGGGCTTGAATAGAGGCACAGTGGTTCTTGGCAGGCTGAGAGGTTTAGAAAATATTAAATCGTACTTACATGTGTTAATCTCTTTCAGAACTGCCGTGAAAACACTCAGGGACATTCATGTGAACAGTGCAAGCAAGGTTATTACATGGACGGCAACTTCTGTAAACCTTGCCCATGCCCTCTGACCTCTATTGAAAACAGGTTATGACCACTCATTGTTATAGATATATACTGTCCTGCAAATGTTAAATATATTAATTGTACAAAAAATCATTTTTTTGTACACGAATTTGCATGTGCACTCATGGTTATAATGGGTTATAGTAAATAACGTTGACCTGCGGCATATTTAGCACATAAGCTGTTCTGTGTGAAATAGCTATTCGATACTGTTGACAACGCTTGTGTTCAGTGACTCACCTCTGTACGTATGACAATAGGTTCTCTCCCTCGTGCCAACTGGCTGACGATGGCTGGCCGACGTGCGATGCTTGCCCAACAGGCTACACAGGCAGACGCTGCGAACGATGCGACTCCGGTTACACCGGCAATCCAATGGAGCCCGGAAACTTCTGCAAGGCTGAGGGTGGGTGTCCGTGAGCCCTTGCGATAGGCTGGCTCATAGTGCTGTCTTAATAACGGTGCATGTTGTCACAGGACCGTCACTGCACTCCTCTCGATCGGTCATTTTCTTGTCATGTCACAGTGGCTGTCACTGAAACAGTTCGATTAATGGCCCTACGACCGACCAGCACACGATACAGTGGTGAACTGCACACTCTCTGCCTTCTCACTGACAAGCAGGCTTCGATACTGCCCCAATTATTACCATGGTTTGAGGTTATTTTTCAAGCGATTGCGAAGTGATTTTTAAGGGGGAGAGTTTCAGCATTGCTATTTGGTACGCGTTTGCAGGTGGTTGCCGCTGTGACCCTCGAGGTGTGAGTGGCGTGTGTGATGCAAGCACCTTCTACTGTAACTGCAAGGTAACCAATCGCCCTAATCGTTATGGTCACCAGAGGTGTGATTTTCCCGTTTTTTGGCGGAATTCCGCTTTTTTAACAGCCGCGGGTGGATTTTGTGAAACGTCCAAATTTGTAATATAAATTTATCAACATTTCTTTTTGAATTTTAAAATAAAGTTAAATATTACAGAAATAATGTTCACTCTAGACTGTGGGAAATGGCTCAGATTGCAGGGGAATGCTTCCTTACCCCTAGAGCTTCTGGGGGCGTGTGCGGCCCCTAGGCTCCCCAGACCCCCGGCAGTTTTTGTTTTCAAACCCCAGCAATCACACCTCTGGGTCACTTGCTCGATGAATTCATGTAGGTAATATTTCAGCATGTCAACGAAAACATTTCACCATACCTTGCATCGCGAACTCCCTACCTCTTCCTAGCACTCCTTTCTAGCTCAGTCATTACTCCACCTGCTACCTCACTCACTCCCTTCTTGCTACTTTCATTAATCCCTCTGTCCCGTGTCTGGTGGCATTCATTTTTGTCACCTATTTATCACTTTCTTTCGTATTAACTTCCATCTATCACTGCATATTTTTAGCTATCATGTTATTTGTCTGCAAAGTTTGGAGTTAAGCTTAAACTGGGTTTACACTGCCAACTTTGAGTTGGAGAATTGCCGAATTGCCGAATTCTCCCAACTAGCTTCTATCGATCGGCTGGACGTGCAACTTTTGCGTTTACACTGCCGATTGTCAGTTACGAAATTGCGAAGTTGGTACAATTCGGCAATTCGCCGACACAAAGTTGGCAGTGTAAACCCAGCTTTAGATGCAGGTCAGTTACACAGGAATGTTATTATCATTCAGAGTAACGTGGATGGAGAATACTGCAGCCAGTGCAAGCCTGGTTACTTCGCCCTGTCAACTGCCAACGACGATGGATGCTCACAGTGCTACTGCTCTGGTGTTTCACAAACTTGCTCTGCTAGCCAGCTGTACAGGGACAAGGTATGCAACAGCCACATGTACTTACCAGAAACTAATGAACGTGTTAAAATTGTTTGTTTTTATCATTTTATTTAGGAACCCATCGGTTCATTTTAAAAGTTAACACATACACAATAACACATAATGTTACAGGACATACAGTAATAAATATATAGATATAGAGATAATTGTAGATATAGATATAGAGATAATTGTAGATATAGATATAGATATAATTGGGTATATAACTTGTGTTATTACTGTTAAAAGTTAGCTATAATGGTAAAAATATTTTGTGTAAATAATTCCTCACCAAAATATTTAGTTGTTTGATGCCTGTCATTGCAGATCACTATTCGCTCTTGGCAAGACTTTGCCTTGGCTGATAGATCCGGTGAGGTCGTCACCAGTGATGGATTTCTTATCAACATCAACTTTAACGAGATCTCGTTCCAGAACTTTGACAGCTTCTCTGAGCAGACCTACTTCTGGGTAATGCCTCCAAGGTTCCGTGGCAACTTGGTAAGTAATTTTCTCAAATTATAGAAATTTTGAATGATATGTAAGTGAGAGATGTGTACTGGTTGCTGTCATTGTTTCCTACAATCTGCCAAATGCCAGATGGCAGGCTAAGGACACAAACTTTCAGATTTTGCAGAATTAATCAAGTGAATATGTCTTGATGGCATGGCATGTTCACATATATTACATGGAGTCTGAAGCAGTCAGTAGTCATAAAGGAATTACCCATACTAGTATTTCCAATCACAGATTGGCTGCTAGTGTGGCTGTTTAATCTCCTTGAGAGCAGGTGAACATTTTCACTAGCACTCCACGAAAATCTTTATACTTCCATGCATAAATGATCGGATTCAGCGTAGAGTTCAGAAACAGCAACATGTCGACACATAGCATCACCCAGGCCGCCGGATATGATTGCTGTGCTTCGACGATTCTCGCCATTGCCAGATAGGTGTAGGAAACGTCGCTTGGGGTGATGCAGATGAACATTGCACCAAACACGAGCACGAAGAGTTTCAGTGTCTTTATTGCTGCCTTGACGCTGCTTGCTAGTTGACTTTCCTGCCCCGTCTGTTGCTGCGCGGCAATTTGTCGCCGGTGGTGTAAGATCGTACGCGATATCTTGGCATACACTATAACAATGATACACTGGATAATAAAGTTGACAATGCACTTTGCCAGCAGATGGTATTTGTTAAGGAAGGCTTCGATAAAGCAAGGCGCGCCACTGTTATGCCATAGTACCATAGCTGGTATGTTTAGTGCAACCGAAAACAGCCAGGAGATGAGGATAAATATGTTGGCCTTTGCTGTGGTCATTATCATTGGATAGTGTAAAGGGTGTATAATAGCAATGTATCGATCCACAGTGATACAGAGAAGGCTGCTGATTGACGCCGTTGTGCTAACGTCTAGCACTCCATTACGTAGGTAGCATATAAATAATCTGAAACGTAGTAGAGAAGACATGGTCAAATAAACCTTCATTGTTGCAGAAGTTGATTAAGTTATTAAGTTTATTAGTTGGTGAGAACCTCCATAGATACCCGTGCTCCAACATGTTTAGATAACCCCGCCAGTATTGCATCACCGCATTAGTGAGCGTGTGATCTTAGTTCGATCTGTAATCTCAGTTTATAAGTTGCTGTCTAAAACGTATATGTCCCGACTATCGTCCATAATGTGATTGTCGTACCTGACTCGGGGGCTTGTCACATAGTCAATCAAGACCTCGTCGATAAGCACAAACATGGCAACGGAAAGTCCAACAATGAGGTCTGCTGCAGCGAGGCTCATTACAAACCTATAGAAGAGGAAAATATAGGATAAATGTAATTAGCTTGTAATATCTTCACTATTAGATCTCAATCGTCAGCATCTAGAATACTGAGAGCTGTAACAGAAAATCTAAAGTAAACAAGTAGTCTCTACGGGGTGTCTAGAGTCCTGTTCTTTCCTCTAGACGTGCACACCGAGTCGTTTAGTGAAGCCAAACTTGGTTTCAGGATTCCAAATTATTTAAAAATATTCATAAACAGATTTTCAAATAATTAACTTAAACTATATCATTGCTATAAGAATATTGACTAAAGAATTTATTAAAGAAAAAAGCTTTAATAAGGTTTAAAACGATAATGCATTGCAATTTCAATAATCATGTGCATTTCCTTGGCTGGGTAATGAAATCTAAGACATATCAGTCAGGATTAGCCCTTACCTGTTTGTGATGGTCTGAAGGATTGCGTATCTGCTGATGGCAAATAACACCGTAGTGTTAGTGACCACGATCATGGTGACGATGATGCCAGTGAAGATGTGGTAGGTAGTATCTATGACTGCAAAGTCAGCGTCTGTCGCTGGTCTCCTTGACGACTCATTTCTGAATGTGTCGATGGGCATGTCACCTTCCATGGTTGCTTGCAGCTGAGACCAGACGTAGGTAAATGCTTGCAATGAAGTTCAAGGTTGCTTGAAACACGTCCAAACGCGAGGTCAAAAAGTGCAAAGTTGGTGATCAAGGTCGTGCCCAAGGTCAACGGTAGCTTTAGGAGTTAAAGCATGCATGAAGTCTGCTATGCACTGGACGGCAATAATGCACGTGCTGTTTCTCCCGGTGCAAAACAGAACGTGTGCCACTTTGCCTGCTGCCGAACAACAGTGGCTGTGTCCAGCCTAATCGTTATTGGGTCATGTTATTGACATGCAGGTTATAAAGGCCTACTGCGTGATATGTCTCGCAGCGAAAGGAGATCTATGGGTGTGTCACTATATATTATGCTGTCAAAATAGTAGGTGTTTTCGTTGCTGACACAGTTCTTATTTTCGCATGCCTCCCTTGATTGTCACACGTCATTGCGTTGTATGTACAGTTGCAGCTAAGGATACACTCAAGCTTTTGTATTGGTATTGCTCAAATAAGTAGTAAACGTTTATTGACCAATGAATCTAATCAATCACACGTTTTATTTACAGATCATATGATATGTATGGATAGTTTAAGGTTATAATATAAGATGTATCTCTAGACACAAGCCGAAAAATCTCATGAAATTTCCGGCACATATGCGCAGGTTTTCAAGTATTCCTACTTTTCCTACTTTTTCCAACTTTTCTGTCTTTGCTCCTATTTTTCCTAATTTTTCTCTGAAATTCCTACTTTTTCCTCGTTTTTTTCCTCCTCGTTTTTTGTCCCAAAACACCGTAACAGGAATTATCAGAGTCATTCAATATTCTTGATGACGATGTTACACTCTGTCATTATGTTAATCACAAAGAGAAGGGCTTGGGCGCAGGAGTCATGAGTAGTCACTGCCGATCCCAGGTGGTGTGCGTACCTTTTTGGCTCATACCGCAAAAAGTTTTTCTGTGAGTAAAGAACATGTCATATGAGGCTTATAGTTCTGTGGATATTGGTAAGTATGAGTAAAAACTACTCCTAAAAGCCCGCATAAGTCCTACTTTCATCCTAATTTTTCCAGCAAGATCCTATTTTTGTCCTGTTTTTGTGTGTGCAAATTTTCTCCTAATTTTTTTCCTGGGTCTGCTTGAAAGCCTGTATGTGACTGTTGTGACAACACGAATTTTGAATGTTTGTGTAGAAATGGTATTATTGGATATTTCTCCATTACCACAAAAAGTGTGAAAGCAAAACTTTCGCCACAGTATGCACCAATAACTGCGCCAGGATTTCGTTTAAGTTTCATATTTACCGAGAAAAGAGAAAGAACTGCTTAAACTTTAAGTCATATGTTCGGATTGAAAATTCATGCAGATAAAGAACCATAGCTTATAAATGACGGCACCTAATATCAAACTCGCTTTTTTACATCAATGTGTTACCATTAAAAAACGAGTGTAAAATTAAATTATTCCGAGTTGTAATGACAAAGAAATTATACATCTGCTGCTGTGGCAGAAATCGAAATGGAGAAACAGCGTTTTTCTACTTTTCACAATAATCGACCGCCTGTGTCCTAAATGGCTGAACGTGAGTTAAGCATCTACTGTTAGTACTATATATATGCGATATATCCATGAATAACTGAAACCACTAAATTGGTAAAATGCTCTGTGCATCATGAGAAATTGTGAGAACTTACAAGGTTACGAAGGTTTTCTACAGCGATCCGCAGCGTTGATCTGTCTATTTGATCAACTTTATCCATCTCCGTCTTTGATAGAGTTCCTTGGACTTTGAAAACTAATCTTTATGAGTTTATGAGGTTACCACTCGCAATGCGCAACGCAAAACGCGCGAACTCTGCGTACTGCATGACGTCACTATACGCGTGTGAATGAAATCCGGACGTGGTAACGTATAAATGTTAGTTCACACCACATAGCAATTTCAACTATCACTGGCAGTTGACGGCTTTAGGAGGCTTGAGTTGAAGCTGAACCGTGAACGAATGAATATACGCGTCTCTGACGTCATCAGCAAATGTATGTTCAAAGGGCCACGGCTCACTGCATACGTACTCGCAGGACGGACTCAACTTTGTCTTTCTCCGTTTTCGAAATAGTCCCTTGGACTTTATGAGGTTATAAGGTTACGTACGCGGGCAATTCAAGCGCTCTGTAAGCTCACATACATTAGTAATAGCATAGAGTTATATAGTAGAATTATACATAGAGAAATAAGCGTGTACAGAGGTAGCACTGCATGGTGATAGCCATCGAATTAGATTGGGAATAAAAAATTTGTGAAATTTCGCATACACCTATAGGGTTACGGGACATCTACCTCTGTAAATGTATTTTATCTTCTGTTTAGACTGTTTAGGAGCAGGTGAAAATTTTCTTTAGCACTGCGCGAAAATCGTTATACTTCCACGCATAGATGATCGGATTGATTGTTGAGTTCAGAAACATTAACGTGTCTACCCATATCGATAGCCAGCTCAGAACATATATATTGTGCTCTCTGTTGAGGCCCGTCATTGCCAGATAGGTGTAGAGAACGTTGTATGGGGTGATGCAGATGAACATTGCACCAAACACGAGCGCGAAGAGTTTCAGTGTCTTTATCG